GTTCAAAAGATTGTTTGGAGCATGCCTAACTGAAATGAACATAGGACCACCATAATTATTGCTCATGTTTGAAAGTTCTCTTTCCTCCAAGGAATTTAGGATAGCGTAGATGAGGATTGCCCATTTCAGTGTCAGAACAATTGATGCGAACGTTGCTTGGCTAGAACATTGCTTAGAAGTAGAAACGTTCAGAGGACTGTTCAGGCTGCATGTAATGGGCTTGCTAAGCCAGTCTCTGTTTTGACCTACCATTGTGATTCAAAAGTGTGAGAAGTGAAGTTGAACATGGTGTAAAATGCAACAATAAACAGCCCGCTCATTCTGAAATAGGTTGCCCCTTGGTAAAGATTGCGTGCATCTCAGACCGATCCCTTGTTTTGCATTCAAAGAGGTCACCACAATGTCTTGTGAGATGATGGCATTATGATTCTATAATGGGAGTTTGTTGCCCTCTCTACACAAACACACACACACCCCAGAGAGAGCCCTGCAATTTATCTAGGCTCCAGCCATTAAGGTAATCTGAAAACTTCTCTTTAACTGACATCGGTCTGTCTGAAAATTGCTGGGGGCGGGCTGAGAAGATGAAAAAGCGAAAATGCATCTGGAGGATTTTCTTCCTTACAATATGGTGGCTTCTGAAAGAGCCTTCTGCACAAATACACCCAAATCTTTTATTCACGCCTGCTTGCCTGCCGAATTCTTCGTTGTCAGTTTGCTGCTTTTGGCATGAAAGCAGACTTTTTCTTTTTAAAGGGGAAAAACACCTCCCAAAATAGTTGTAAAACTGAACAAGTTTTCCCTGTCCAAGTTTGCAACAACTGCGCGGTAGTAGTTTTGGAGAGTGTGGTTAAAGGCAATTTGATGCCAAAGTTTGTTTATTCCTCCCGCGCCTTTCTCAGCTCCCTCCTTCCCCATCCTGGGTTTCACGGGGATAGCTAGATGAAACATTGGGAGGCGCTAAAAAGGGGTACAAGGAGAGGTGGGGAGAGCGAAAAGACAAAATCAAGGCCTGCTGAAAAGTAGAGTTGACACCTTCCACCGAGTACAGTTGATTTAAATCAGTGTTTTTCAAACTTGGCAACTTGAAAATGTGTGGACTTCAACTCCCAGAATTCCCCAGCCAGCAAAGCATGGATGGAAGACCACACATCTTCAAGTTGCCAAGTTTGAAAAACACTGATTTAAAGATAGGAGAACCAGGGGTCTTCCTTATTCCCCCTTTTCTTTTTGATAGATTCATCACAATGTTACCTTTTCCATATCCCAGTTTCTAAGAAGTTGGCTGAAATATTAAGGATGCTACGTCTCCCTCCTCTTCACAAAGTTTAAAACAATACAGCATTTTGGTTACTCCAAAGTGGCTTTAAGAAATGGTGGATGGGGTTTGGGGTCCTTTCCAGCTGGGTTAACCCATCCCACCTAACCAGAGCATCCAAGAGTTGCAAAAGATGGTTAACGTTAACCTTGGTAGTTATGAGACCAATCGAAAAGAATAGATGAAAGGATTTAAATAGATACTAGCAATAATCTTTAATGTTTAATGTAAATGTAAATATCAGCAGCTGGGGAGGCAAACGGAAGGAAAGGGAATATGTTACTAGAAAGTTTTCCCATAATATTTTTATTTATCCTTAGCAGTGATTTCTTTTTGTGTTACTATCCAAGGTAGGCCTTTATTTCTCTCTCTTGGTATTTTTTTATTCTAACAATAATAATAGATTGGGTGCATCTCAGACCCATCTCTCGTTCTGCATTCAGAGAGGTCACCACGATGTCTTGTTTGTGAGATGATGGCATTATGGTTCTATAATGGAAGTTTGTTTCCCTCTCTACACAAACACACACCCCAGAGAGAGCCCTGCAATTTATCTAGGCTCCAGCCATTAAGGTAATCTGAAAACTTCTCTTTAACTGACATGGGTCTGTCTGAACATTGCTGAGGGCATGGTGGCAGGCTGAGCAGGTGAAAATGCAGCTGGAGGATTTTCTTCCTTACAATATGGTGGCTTCCGAAAGAAAGGTTTAACGTTTTAAAATGTTAACCTTGGTGACTTTTTGCCATGCACACCAAGCCTGTTTGGTTAGTTAATGGTCCAGTGCATTGTGGGAATCGAGAAAATGGATGCATTACGCAGCCAGGCTAAACCTGTTGCGTGAACTCTGCCAGAGAAGCAACGACGTTGCCATCTTTAGCTTTTATCACATGAAAACATCCTGCGGGATGGATCACTGTCTTTCGTCCCGCCATAAGATTGCTGGCATGGGCAACAAACACGGCCACCTTATGTGGGCCACCAACTCAGCGTCTTGATAATGTGATGTCTTGGTGGCACGGGAGCCGCCGTAGAGAACGAACCACATTCCAGAGTAACGACTGAGTAAAGCGGAGGAGACCTTGGGTTTGTTTCTGTGTTTCAGTTCGGACCTTCCTACTTACTTATTTTCAAGGGCAGTTATCCTTCAAGAAGTATGCTTCTCCGAGTTTTGTGGTGAAGTGAGTTTTTTTTTAAAGTCCGCAAGAATGACGGATGACAGGGCATATATCTGTAAAAATAATGTGCAAAAATAACATGTGAGTCAAAAATGCATACCAAAACCTGCCCTAGAAAATGCAGACAGTTTTTAATGCAAAATAAAACCTTACCCTGTCACAGAAAAGAGATGAAACCAGACCGAGCCAACAAATCAGCCCATGAAACCAAAACCAACTCTGATTTGTTCATCCTTGTATTAGCTAGGTTAATTCCTTGATCTTTATTCTGCTTTTCCTTTCTTTCTTTAGATGTATCTCTTCTTGGAGAGGGAAGAATTAAATGCAACAGGCTTTAATGTTTGATTTGGTCCTAAATTTCATTGCTCAGTGTCAAAACCTGTCTCCACGTTGAGATTATGGTTTTCCTCTTCCCTCCTCCTGCTTTTTCCTTCTGTGTGGCACCTTCCAGACTAATAGCTGTGTGAAAAGCCCAGCCATTTTCATTTTGTCAGTTTCAGATGCTCTGTGAATCTTTGTGACTAAAAATAGGATAAAAATGCTATAAATAAATAAAACAAGCGTAGGCTTGCTTGTGAAGCAGTTGTAATTGTCTAGGGTGGAAGATGTATTGATTTCTCTTGCTTAGTTAGCCTAACTTATTTCAAGCATACATGGAACTTCCTTGACTCTGAGGGGCAACCAGTGTTAATTTTCTCTGTCTTAATGCCCTACAGCTAAATATCTTTGAGATAGAACTTTGATCCATCCTGTATTTAGAATAAGGATATAAATAAATACCAGTTGAAAGGATGTTTGGAAATGTTTAGGCTACTAGCATATGGATTAGAAATTTGCAGAAGGGCAACCCCGTCATCCGTTGTTCCTGTCCTTGCAGGCATTGGCAAAGCGCCTATGCCTTTCTGGTTCTTTAAAAAGCTTTATAAAATTATCAGCAAGGAACCGATGCCTGCAGATGTAAAGGGGAAGGGTATGGAACAAGACCTACCCTTTGTGGTCCTGTTTTGCTTTCCATCAGGGAAGATCATAATAATTGCCTTTTCCCCTGCTTTTAACACAGAAGCACAGTGAAAAAGGGAGGGTTTTCTTGAGAAAGGAAAGCGAAGCATACCCCCGTTCTCTGCATTTTTTTTTTTTTTGGGCTAACAAATGCAAGACTTCCGGTCTCCACCCCACTACCACAAACCACAGTCTAACTGCAATTCAGTCAGATGCATAGCTCATCTGACATCCGCACCCTTTTGCATTTATGAGCAGAAATCTAGGCATAAGCGAGGCCTCTAAATTCTAAGAAGGGATCCTGGTCTAGTTTTCCAGTCTGGACAGAACTACGGTTAACTCTCCTTTTATGACTTTTCATATCGCAAAGGGGAGAATTTATGACATCAAAGCAAGTGGAGGACTGTCTTTTAAGAAAAGGATGATGTATGCAGTGGGTTAGGCTGGGCTGTCAGTTCTGCTTACACACGTTTGACATCACAAAAGACATCTGTGGTTGATTAGCAGATCTTTGATATGATGTTATCTGCCATTGATTTACTCTTGGCTTGAACTGAAGGGTGCAGCCAGGACTTACAAGGAAAGATAGGGGTGGGATTGCAAGGCGGGGGCAGGGGGGAAATACGGCACATACAAGATATCACAATATAAAGCAGTGTTGCATCTTTGCCCATTACTTTTACCACAACTGATTTGGCTGGCCACCATTCATGAATAATATAAATTGATGGCAAGACGAATCTCAAAGAAACGTTCATAGTTCATCCCTAGGTGTAGAATTCCATATTTATGGAGGGTTTTAGTGTTACAGAGAACTGGAGCCGGCTCACCCCAAAATTCTTATTCGCATCTGATCATTATGACTTGGGAGTGAGGCAGTGAAGACTCCATCAGCTGATTTAGAGAGATCCAGTGGCCAGATGTTTCTGGGGAACCCATGAGTGCATGAAAGTGATAGAACAACCCCTGGATCTTCTTCTGAAGAGATGGACCCCACTGAGCTTTCATTACTTTGGAGTCAGTGAAAGCCTGGCCAGGCTAAGACCAAAATGCTCTCCAGTGTTTCACCTCAGAACATTTTCTAGGACGACTGCTAAAGCCTAGCTTTGAAATTGATTTGGTCCCAAGATTTCTCTCACATCTGAGAACTTGATTCCCTTTTGAGTCAAAAGGTTTTGAGAAGCCTAAGCTTTGTTATAACAGAAGTGGGGGGGGAGGGCCTGTTATTCATGAAAGTCCATTAAATCGGAGAGATTGTCAGGCACAGTCATTTGCATAATGATGCCATTACACAAATGACATTTAGGTCTCTCTCACAATGGCAACCGTTACCCAAATGATGGAAATCACATCATTTGCCTAACAATATCATTAAGCAAATAATGTTTTCCAGTGCAAAAAAGCAGGTCCGTTGCGTTGCATTCGGGTCTGTTAAATTGTTGTTTCCCTCCAGATGCTGGTCTCTTGTGAAATTAACCTTAGATTTTCTCTCCTTTTTCTCTTTTAGATTCTCAAGTTCTACAGGAACCGGGGGATCTATCACACTGGTGCGTGGTGGCATATTGGGAAGAAAAGACTCGCGTGGGTCGGTTGTATTCTGTCCAAGAGCCCTCCCTGGATATCTTCTATGATCTACCTCAGGGGAATGGTTTCTGTCTCGGACAGCTCAATTCGGACAATAAAAACCAGTTGGTGCAGAAGGTCCGTACCAAGATTGGTTATGGCATCCAGCTGAGCAAGGAAGTAGACGGAGTATGGGTTTATAATCGCAGCAGTTACCCGATTTTTATCAAGTCGGCCACACTGGACAACCCCGACTCCAGGACGTTGTTGGTCCACAAAGTGTTTCCAGGCTTTTCCATCAAAGCGTTCGATTATGAGAAAGCTTACAGCTTGCAGAGGCCCAACGACCACGAATTCATGCAGCAGCCTTGGACTGGCTTCACAGTTCAGATCAGCTTTGTGAAAGGCTGGGGCCAGTGCTACACAAGGCAGTTCATCAGCAGCTGTCCGTGCTGGTTGGAGGTTATTTTTAATAACCGATGACTCGAGACTCAACAGTGACTTTTTGTAACGACTTTGCTGCTAAAACGTTTCCTTCTGAGTGCTTGCTTTGTTGTGCAAACGTTTTTTGTTTGTTCTGTTTTGAGAAATAGCTTATGGAAAGATTTCTCTCTCTCTCTCTCTCTCTCTCCCTCCCCTCCCTTTCTTTGTGTTTTTATTTTGGGGGGGGTGTTTTGGACGTATCTTTTTTAAAAGCGTAGATGACCAAGAACCCAGAAAGGACGGAGGAAGTTTGGGAAAGGGTTAAGCTGGACATGGTTACAGAGGGATCGTTCTGATTCCTTTTCAAAGTTACAATGATTCCAACTCTAATGGGTAGAACTGCAGGCCACCAGCTTCACTGCACCTTCTCTTGAATTCAAGCTCTGTTCTCTTTCTTGCCTCCCTTTGTAAACCCAACACACCTCCCTCCAGAACCCTGTGTTTTCCCCAGGAAAGGCACACTTCTTTGCACGCTTTGGATGTTCTGCTCATTTCAGCAGAGCTAAGAGATCCACACTTAGAAGTGTCATAGGACACCAAGATCTCATTTTCTTCAGTGAGATGCATGGAGGTGGGTCTGGAGCTGTCTGTCTTGCAAGAGATTGAGAGGTCGGATTCTTGCAACAAGTTACAGGTAGTCCCCGGGTTAAGAACGCTCGGTTTACCGAGGACCCATAGTTAAGTACTGAGCCTATTGTAGCAAAATTTCAGTTAAATACCCAATGATTTGAGTTAAATACACAATAGTTTGACTCAATTACACAATATTACTTGTACGGTATTATACAATAATACTGTTCTGGCTTACACATAAATGTGACTTAAGGACAGCCCTTGGGAACGGAACTCGTTCTTAAACTGGAGACTACCTGTATTTTGTTCTAGATCTAGACAAATGGTCCTGGATCAATCCTGCTCTCCTACAAGATGTCTTTTTTCTGACAAATACGTGGATCTGTCTTGCTGCCGGTCATTCTGTCTGCTATTTGTTGCAAGCACAGTAGGTCCTTGGCCGGTATCAGGAAGGTCAGCCACGGTGGTTTACAGCCCACCCCCCCAAATCACTGGCACAGTATGCATGCACATATACAGAGCCACCATGGGGGGGTGAATGCAGAAATGCAGAATTTTAGTCAACAGCTTTAAGAACCTTTCTTCCTTCTCCCCTTTCTCACCACTCTGTTATATCTACCTGCAACTTTAACCCTTTGTGTCTGACCTCGTGGATGAAAAAAATAAGCTGCGCAGGTTTGGGAAAGAAATGGCCATGTTTCTGGGTGCTTGGTTATCACTTATTATGCCAGGAAAACCAAAAAAAAAAAAAATGCGCGTGGCATGGGCTTTTCAAATGGATTTGCAATGCAGACTTCATCCCCCCTCCCTTTTTTTTTTATGGACGAAGCTGAATTTCAGTATTTACTCCCTGTCCCCTGTTTTGATCAGGTTTAGGATAATACTGTTTGCATCCAGAAACTGCAGTCATTCAGTTAGTATTTTAGTATTTTTCTTCAATTCATACACTTAGTATGATAATTTTACACTGTTCTTAGCTCAATGAGCATGTTTAGACCTTAACATAAGCTATTTTTCTAAATACAAAAGGATTAAATGAACAAGAGAAGCATTCTCCTTGGAATTTTAGCATTGAAGTGCTTTGGAAAAAAATAACAACAGACTTCTTAAAAAAAAAAAACCTGAGATTTATTAAAGAAAAATGTATTTTATGTTATATATAAATATATTATTACTTGTAAATACAAAGACGTTTTATAAGCATCATTATTTATGTATTGTGCAATGTGTATAAACAAGAAAAATAAGAAAAGATGCACTTTGCTTTAATATAAATGCAAATAACAAAATGCCAAATTAAAAAAAAAGATAAAAATTAATGATTGGTGGGCGTTTTCTCTCTTATCTATGCTGTTGTTAGCATCTGCTTGGAAGGGTAGTGTGCTCAGCTTGTCACAAGATGGAATTGTGACCACAGTATTCAAAACTACAGTCGGTCAACTTAGCAGGTGTAGTACTAAGGCAAGAAGTAAGAACGGAGGCTTTTAGAATCCAGTCTCCACGTGAGAGGTCCATCAAGCCAGGTGAAGACTCTCTGTGTGTGTGTGTGTGTGTGTGTGTGTGACATAATTATCTCCAAGGACTTCCATTTCTCATTCAGCAGCCTAGAAGCTGACATAAATGTTGTAAACACTTATAAAATTAAAACATAACGAAAAGACGGACTGACGGTCCAGAAAAAAGTGGGTGGTGTTTTTTCATTTTTTGTTCCAAGACTTTTTGCATTTTTCTGAAAAATGGGGGAAATGACCTATGAAATACTTCCTAATATTTTCTTTGTAAATGGAGCATGAAGTAGTCACATATTGTTCGATCTTTACTCTGTGCAATACTGTCTAAAAAAAAAAAGTAATAGGAAGATATGTTGATAAGGCTATTTTCAAAATGGGATCATTACGGTTGTAGTCCAGCTTTGAAGTGCAAGAATGCATTTGTTTTTCCCTCTGGGGTTCACTGGCATTTATTTTCAGAAGACAAAAATTCAGCCTTTCTCGGATCCTGCACTTCCTTCTTCTTGCTGACTTTTTCAACTTGAGATACTGCAATCTGTTGGTGTCATCCACGAGGCTGCAAAGCACCAGGACTCTAAAGGTGTTACCCACAATAAACCTGCTTAGCTTCAAAGGACAACCAAGGTCAGCCAGATGCTACCATTTAGAGCAGTGTTATTTTCATGCTGTCCAGCTTCTGAAAGGACTCCAAGCCATCCACGTCATAATTAAAGAGTTTTCTAAAAGTGTTAGGAGTCAGTTTGATGCAGTAGTTAAAGGCACCAGGTAGTAACCAGGAGTTCTAGTCCTGCCTTAGGCACGAAGCCAGCTGGGTGATTTGAGGCCAGTCCCTCTCTCTCAGCCAGAAGGAGGAGGAGGCCAGGGCAAATCACTTCCAAAAATCTTGCCAAGAAAACTGCAGGGACTTGTCCAGGCAGTCGCCAGGAGTGTGATTTGAAAGTGCAAAAATAGAATAGCTAATACAGAATAATTAAGCAGATGAGGGCAGGCAAAACCTGAACTCAAAATAAGGCAGTGTTTCTCAACCTTGGCAACTTTAAGATGTGTGGACTTCAGCTCCCAGGATTCTGGGAGTTGCTGGCTGGGGAATTCTGGGAGCTGAAATCCACACTTCTTAAAGTTGCCAAGGTTGAGAAACACAGTTCTAGTGCCTTATTCACATTACCAGTAGTTACCAAAAAAAATGTGGACTATCAAATTTATGCCCCATTTATCCTCCACTACAAATAAATCATTCCTTGGAATAGAAATAGAAGATGCAAATCAGCAATTTAATATTAAAAAGAACAATTGACAAAGTAGTAGTAAAGCAGCAAGGAAGACTGGCTGCGGGCACATCCCGCTAAGCCAGATTTGCTTGATTCCAGCTTTCTGTACTATGTGATTTATTCAACAATCTATCGTTAAAATGAACCATAGTGTACCTCATTATGGAAATCTATAAACATGGTTCTCTTGAAAAAAGTCTTATAGCGCTGATGCAGGAATTACCAGAGAAAAGATAGTGGATAGGCTTAGGCCCAAAGGCATTTATGATATGCTAGACCAGGCTCAAATGAAGCTGGATAGTTTGTAAGCTAGCTTGAGGTAAAGCAAGCCATCATGTTCAGCTATTATGTATACAGCATGTGTGAATATAAAGCAATAGCATTTTGTTAACTTGGGTTTAGGGCATTGTGCATTGATCTAACCTCTGAAATGTTGGTATCTGAAGGTGGACATAAGATTGGTTAAGGTTTGGAAGAAAGTTCAAAAGCCTGAGGAAGAATGACTTGAGGTATACTTTCATCAAGCAATGCCTAGAAGACATGAGCGGTTGTGAAAAATTCCCTCTAAGGCTTTCAGTTAAATTTGTCTTGTCTCCTATCAGGAGTTCTTCAATCATCCTGTCCCATCTTTCCTATGGCAAGATGAGAAAAGGATGGGCCTTTTGTTGCAAGAAATTCAAGCAATTCCTCCCTTCTCTTCCTCCAAACCTGACAAATTCATACAACATCAAAGGCCCAAAAAGAACGGGGGGGG